CCAGCAAGTAGATTTTCTAAAGGGTAACCAAAAATGAATAAATACAAAATAAAACTTTAATGTTTCCACTAGATATACCCTCTGATGTAGGATGCGCAGCAGAAACTTTATCTTTTGAGAGCCTAGTAACTCAGCATTTATACATGGGCACCATGACTAAATCACAGCCTCATGCAAAGCAGAAAGAGAATGGCAACAAGTACAAATAGGGGAATTTTTTAATTTGACGATGATCTGTATCTGCTTTGAACTTCTAAAGAAAATCTCTATAAAAGTTGAGCATCCTAAAGATATTTCAGAAAACTCATATTGTTGTTGAAAGAACCATGTATTGAAAGTTCAGGGCAGAACTATTGATATTGTTGTTAAATAAGTGAAACCTACTTTAAAGTTACTGAATAAGGATTTTAAGAATAAAGAAAACTCAATTTTGACAAGGTTTTTCATTATTTTTTATTAAGCTAATTTATCTGAGTTACAGATTTAGAGGACAAAAATAATAATGAAAAATTACTAATAAGGCCATTCTTATTGTTAGGACAAATTGGTTTAAAAAGCAATCTCACTAACATTGTTACAGAGCCAAAAAACTTTGGATTTTTAAAATTTGTAATTGAAGATATAAGAACAATTTAAGGAAGATAGACACCAAGCTATAGTTAGAACTACAGAAGAAACTTCTCTGAAAATAGAGAAAAGTTAATTCGGAGTAAGTAACCAAGTGGTTTGCATTTACAAAGATAATTCATCCAAGAATTAAGAAAAATAAATGTTTAACAGAAAAAATACAATAATTCTCTAGATAAATAAGTTAAAAATAATAGCTATCAGCTTGATAGATGCAAAATAGATTTTTGATAACTCTTAGCAACCTTCAATGCCTGCTGTGATTTTTAGCAAGATGTAAATATTTATTTCATTCCTGGTACCAACAATATAATTAGTACTAAAGTGCAAGAGTTCTGCTTTTCTAAGAAATTGTGCCACAGGGAGTCAAGACATAATACAGGGAGAAGGTGATTGTTTTCCAAACAGCTTTGGCTCTGGTTCAATATCCAGCATCATCTCTTCATCCTGAATATGGCTAGAGGTTGTTTCTGAGAAAAAGCCTCTGAGCACCTCTGGGTGTGACTACTGGCTCCATCCCCACCACCCAGAAATGTTTATCACATGGAATGGAGAGATAGTACAGAGTGCAAGGTGCTTCCCTTGCATGTAGCTGACTGACTCAGGCTCAATCCCTGATACCCCATATGCCTCATTCTCCTGATACCCCTTGCCTGATATGGTACTCTCAGCACCACCAGTAGTATACCGAAGCACAGATCCCAGGAGTAATCTCTGAGCGCTATTAGCTATGGCCTATAAAACAAAACCAAAAGAATGTTCACTACAGTAGATTTTTTTACCCCTCAAAGAGTACCAGTAAATTTAATGAGGTAAGAATAATGTATCCAAATAGAAATATTGCAGATTTACAAGTGCATGTTTATCCAGAAAATCCACTAAATAATTGTGAAAGTCACTACGTATGAAAAAATTCAATACGGTCATCAGCCACACTTTCTAGGGGAAAAGGGAACTCAGATAGAGAAAGGAGCACCAAATAAAGGGTGTTGGGAGGATCCTCTCAGGATGGGAGAATCATACTGAAAGTAGACTATAGACCAAACATGATTGCCACTCAATGTCTCTTTTGCAAACCACAACACCCCAAAGGAGAGAGAGAACAAAAGGGAATACCCTACCACAGAGGCAGGGTGGGATGGAGGAATGGGGGGTGGGAGGGATACTGGGACCCCGTTGTGGTGGAAAATGGGCACTGGTGGAGGGATGGGTGTTTGATCATTGTACAATTGAAACCCAAGCACAAAAATTTGTGAGTCTACAATAGTACCTCATGCTGTTTCACTAACAAAAATTTAAAGAAAAATGTAAATGTTGGAGAATGGGCACTGGTAGAGGGATGGTTACTGGATCATTGTATAACTGAAACCCAAGCACAAAAATTTGTAAGTCTACAACTCTACCTCATGGTGTTTCACTAATGAAAATTTTAAAAAAAGGGTAAATGTCAGGGCAGAAATTTTCTAAGTTGATAACCAAAACAACACGATATTCAGAAATAAATATCACAAGAAACATGTTGGACACATTGAAATAAAATAACTTTTAACCCCACTACTATATCTTTGGTCCCTGAGCATGTTGATTTTTGAATGGATGTGCATGTATACTCAACATGTATACTTGAGTTGTTAGACAATAATCTGCTATTTTCATGGCTTATTTTTAGAGAAATTTGCAGGTAAATAAAATCTTGTTTTCTGTCTTTCCCCCCCTTTTTTTCTGTGAGATGAAAATAATTCAGAAGAACAAAGTAAAGAGGAAAGTAAACTTTAAAAAATAATGAAAAGAGATCAAAATATTTATAAATGTGAATAAAAAATTTTTTTCTTTATTTTTTTGTGGAGACTTTGTTGTTAGTGTGTTTGGCATATCGAATACGTCACAGGGAGCTTGCCAGGCCCTGCCGTGCGGGCGAGATACTCTCAGTAGCTTGCCGGGCTCTCCAAGAGGGGCGGAGGAATCGAACTCGGGTCAGCCATGTTGGCTGCGTGCAAGGCAAACACCCTACCGCTGTGCTATCGCTCCTTTTATATTTTTTTGTGGAGCTACACTGGACAGGGCTGATGGACTGCTCTTGGCTTGGTGCTCAGAGGACCATGCTTTCCTGGGATGAAACCCAGCTCTCCTGCAAGCAAAGCTTTCACTTTACCCCTTGAACTATATCTCCATCCCTGGAATATTCTCTTTTTTTGTCTTGTGTGGGTCCCATACCTTGTGGTTCCCAAGGGCAAGTTTCTGGAGATACTCCTAGCTCTGTGCTTAGGTACCACACCTGGAGGTGCTCAGTGGACCCTCGCCAAAGGTTCTAACCAGGTTCAGAGCCTCAGCAGCATGTAAGCTAATTCCTTAAACTACTCTCAAATATTAATGATTTAAAAAATATATATATATATTTAGAATACACATTTGCAGTCGTGCGTTCTCTTATAGTCTAGCCCATGGATATACCTAAAGCAGCACACATGTGTTTGGTTTTAGCATACTTGCTTGTATTCTCTTATATACATTCTCTGTCCCTCTTGGAGAGCCTGGCAAGCTACTGAGAGTATCCCGTCTGCACAACAGAGCTTGGGACGCTCCCTGTGGTGTATGCAATATGCCAAAAACAATAACAATAATGGTCTCATTCCCCTGACCCGAAAGAGCCTCCAGTATGGCACCGTTGGGAAGAATGAGTAAGGAGACGCTGCTAAAATATTAGGGCTGGGACGTTACTCAGGGTGTGGAGATGTTACTGGTGCCCTCTTGAGCGAGTCGATGAACAATGGGATGATAGTGATACAGTGATACATAGGAGGTGACATTTCTCTAATTCATGAACTTCTTATGTCATTTTTTTCTTCCAGTTTTATTTCCCATGTATATTCTTGTAATAAAAAACAAAAGTGAAGAACAAAGTGAAGATTTTGTTGTTTATGTGAAGTGATTTTTTCATCTTACAATAAATATATTTGAAACTATTTTAAAATTTCAAATGATGATCATTAACCAGTCTTTATGTACACAATTCTGCTGCTCACTTACTCTTTTGAAAATATTAATCACGTGAGATATAATTTTTTTAGAATTTGCTAGGAAGCACAAGCAGTGATTGGAATGCTACTGTTTTTTTAGATTGTTGATAATATTTTGTACTGATAAAGTTTATAATGTTCAATTAATTTGTTTTGTTCCTAACCTACCTATGGCGACTTTAACATTCACTTGCTATTAGAATTCCTTTACTAAGCATGCATAGTTTAGCATGGCCATAAATAAATAAATAATACTTTATCTAAATCAGACTCAAGATGGAATGAGGGCTGTTGTGAATATTATATGTTAAGGATATTCTTTTAATTTGTGATATAGTATAGTTGGGACTGGAGCCATAGCACAGCGGGTAGGGCGTTGCCTTGCAAGCAGCCAACATGGCCGATCCGAGTTCCATTCCTCCGCCCCTCTTGGAGAGCCCAGCAAGCTACCGAGAGTATCTCACCCGCATGGCAAAGCCTGGCAAGCTCCCCGTGACGTATTCGATATGCCAAACACAGTAACAACAAAGTTTCATGATGGAGATGTTATTGGGCCCGCACAAGCAATTCGATGAACAATGGGAGCACAGTGACAGTGATAGTATAGTTGGGGGTTGGAGTGATAGCACAGCGGTAGGGCATTTGCCTTGTGCACAGCCAGCCGGGTCGACCCGGGTTTCATTCCTCTGTCCCTCTCGGAGAGCCCGACAAGCTACCGAGAGTATCTCACCCGCACGGAAAAGCCTGGCAAGCTACCCGTGAAACACAAAACACAGTAACAAGAATTCTCACGATGGAGACGTTACTGGGCCTGCGCAAGCAAATTGATGAACAACGGGAGGACAGTGACAGTGACAGTATATTTGGAATGAATTTCTGTAGTGGATTTTGCAAGTATCCTTTTGGTTCTTATGATAAACAGAATTTGGAAAACTATTCATTCAAAATTATATCATGGACACATATTAAAACTTATGCATACTTGCTATTTTGAATTATTCATACAACTTTTCAAATTCACTAGTAAAAATATTAAATGCATATGGTATTTGAATTCATAATATTTTTTAAATTATGAAATTGTTTCTCCTCTTTCTCCTTTTTCTTACTTTTCCTCCTCCTCTTCCTCCTTTTTCTTCTCCTCTCCCTTTTTCTATTCTTTCATGTCATGGATACACTAGCTTTAGCTTAAATAATTCTGAATGAAAGTAGTATTTCTTTTCTGCAAGTGCTCTACTTTATTCAATTCTTGTTTCCTGTAGTGAGAATTCAATGTAACACATTCAATTAAATTATTCAGTAATATTTTCTAGTTGTTAGTCTCTGGACTAATTATGTTTTATTTTGTGTTTTCAGGGTACAAGTTGAATTTTATATGAATGAAAACACATTTAAAGAGAGACTAAAGTTATTTTTTATCAAAAACCAGAGGTCAAGTAAGTTATCTATCTTTAAGGTTGTAAGTGACATTTAAGTAAAAAATATGTAGAACTCAACAAACCTTTTGAGAAATGCTTTTTGTATAGAGGAATAAAATCAATGGTTTTGTCTATCTTGCTAAGTTTAAAGAACATACATGTCATATCTGGTGGTGATAAGTTTTCTTGAATAGCTTTGTCCAAATACTACATCAATAGTGGATTTCTCATGGGACCTTCTGGAAGAGTGCAACCATTGAGGAAAATAATATAAATAAGTGCTCCCTTATTTTACCTTTGAGGGACATGTAAAACCTATTTTGATGATCCTGAACATACTGGAAAATAATTACCTGATTTAGTGGATAAGAATACATTATTTCCCATTAATACCTTATAGCAAAAAGCATATTGGTATTTTTTTGATGTGCATGGATTGTGCATTTTTGACTGGAAATTTTGAACCAAGAAGTGTAGAGCTCCATTCAGTGTTTAACATTTAAAGGATTTTTGTTTTCTGATGATCTTAGAAAGCATTGGAACTTCAAGGAGATGTGAAATTAATAATTCTGAGAGAAGTGTCAACTGTTATTAACCTTACACATGCAGCTAATTCACCCATTAGATCTTTAACCAGGAGTAGTGGTTGGAGAGCACAATGAAAGAGCACAGCTTCATCTTTAGGTCATTGGTGCATCTGGGTCAGACTGCACCAATCCCTGCAAACAGGGACTGCAGAGAGAGTAAGAAGTAGAGTGCTTGTTTGTGTATGGTTGACCCAGGTTCTTTCTTGGCACTCTACATGGTCCCCGGATTCCCTCGGAGTGATTTCTGGGCAGGAGGGATCTTAGCACAGCTAAAAGGAGATACTTAGCACAGCTGTATCTGGCCCCAGAACCAAAATAAACATAAAAATTTGATTTAGTCACTGGTCTTATGTGAGAATGGCGCTAATTGTCTCATGTTGCAAATGTCTTCAAGGCCATATATATACTGAATTATTTTGCATTTTTCATATTAGTGTTTCTTAAAATAACACACAACAGAGAGCTCTCTATTCGTTGTTGCAGACTTTGTTCTCTCTTCATTTTGACTCTTGAGTCCTCTTGGGGTTATTTGAATTAAGTTGTGTTGCATTTTGACTCTTGAGCCCTCTTGGGGTTATTTGAATTAAGTTGTGTTGTTACAAGGTTCAGAGGCAGAAGTCTGAATCATTATTCAAATACTAACTATAGCATATATTTTGATCTTTGAAGCTATCTTCAGAGGGAAAGATAGTTTGGGGGGGTGTTTGGTGCTGTCTGACCCAAAGTTCCAGAGATGAAGCTGTACTCTTCCACTGTGCTCTCCAATCGTTGCTCCTGGTTAGAGATGTAATGGATAAATTAGCTAACTGTGTAAGGCTGATAAAAATTGACACTTCCCTCACCTTTTTGATTAGAATTTAAAAAGATACCTGTCAGAGATTATTAGAGACTTTTCTTGATTTTAACAATCGCATCCATCTCTCTCTCCAGACAAGAGAAGATGGATTTGGTATTTTAATATTACTCCAGTAGTCACCTTTTACTAGGAGGTCATTTGAATGGCCCGGTTCCATAAAACAATGGAGATTGCATTAGTAGTTTAAAAGACATTAGAGAGAAATTAACCCATAAAATGTAGCTTGCCTTTTAATGGAAAAGCCTGGAGAGATTGCACAATTAGTAAGCATTAATTTTTTTACTGCTAAAAAATATTACCTTCTCAAGTGCACTCACATATTAAGTGAAAAAAAAGAAGGCATTTCATTTCTAGATTTTACTAACTAATGATTATAGGAAGATCTTTCTCATAATTCAGAGTCCACCTTGTAATGGTGGGAAAAAGAAAGCTTCCATTAAGTCAGCATGTTTTGTTTAGTCTTAATTGCTCTTTTTTAAAGACTATTATTATGTAGGACAACCTTCATAAGCTGTCACCTACATAGCTATAAAGAGAGATACAAGTCATAGAGTATGCTTGAAACTATGGTTGACTGTTGTATATCACAGCACCTGAAAAAAAAGATTAAAAAATAAAAATGTTTACATAGTAGTGTTAATTTCCACAAAAGTTTAAAGATTTCTTTGGTGTTTAACTGAGGTTATCCGGTCAAATGAAAATAGTGTGTCTTTGTGTGTGTGTGTGTGTGTGTGTTCACAGCATGTACTATAATGATTGCTTTTTGAGGATATAATATGCTTACTAATTAGATGTGTAATTCTCAGTTCCATATATGACTCTACGTTTTCTATAATCAAATTTACAAGCCATTTGGAGGATTCAAGTTTTATAACTTATCCAGTTAATTTGTAAGCAATTAGATTTTCAAACTAGCTAAAATTTATTTTACATGTAAGGAAATTATAAAATGCCTAAATTCCTGAGATTATTTGTGATAGTGTTGAATGGACATGATTTTTGTGACTTCTAATACTCAAGCCCTGAATTACTCTTAAGTTTAATATTGACTCATTGACAGTTCATGTGTTCTGTCAATCTCAGTTTTGGAATATTCAGGTGATTAAAATTCAACTATCGAAAACCTTTTGCTATTGTTATTTCTAATTACAATTTAAGTGTTGCCTTTTACATTGATTTTTTTGGACAATTCTTTTGTGAACTAAGTTCAATGAAAACTAAAAATTTTGTTGTTTTTTTAAAGGTCTAAGAATACGTCTGTTCAATTTTTCTCTCAAATTATTAAGCTGCTTATTGTATATAATTCGAGTACTACTAGAAAACCCTTCACAAGGAAATGAATGGTAAGTCATCTTTGTCTGACCTTCAGCAATATCCTTTTTTGGTTTTGTGGCTACACCTGACTTACTCCTGACTCTGCACTCAGGAATTACTCCTCAAAGTACTTAGGGGTCATGTGTGGTGCCAGGGATACTTCTGACTCTGTGCTCAGGGATTATTCCTTGCTGTACAAGGGATCTAACCCACATAGACCACATGCAAGGCAACAGGCGTTCTTTTTATACAGTCTTCTTTTATTGCCTATTCTCTAAAGCTAATACTGGACACCAATTATTAAAGTTTCATTCTAAGTAATTGTATTGGTCAGACTCTTTAACAACCCAAATAATTGTCTTTTGGAGTATAAATAATATACTACAAAAAAGGTTTGCTCTACCGTATAATTTCTTTATTACTACTTTCAGATACTCTAGTTATTACTCTTGACTGGAAAAATGCTGGCCTTTATTGGTGTGCATGACTATTTCAAATCTCAGATTTAACTTTATCTTATTTGAATTAGATGATATGTTGATTTGGGATTACTTTTTATTCATTATTATATTGCTTTTGTAAAGTTGCATTTGTGTTTATTCGTAGCCTTGTAGGTTTTTGTTCTTTTTCTAGAAGAAATAGGTCATGATGCAGGATGTATAGTGCCATCGATACTTTTTTATTTTTGGTTAAATGATTAAATTTAAAATTATTTTCAAGGCAGAAAATAATGCCTTATGCCTCTCGGAGAGGCCGGCAAGCTAGTGAGAGTATTCCGCCCGCACGGGCAGAGGTTGGCAAGCTCCCCGTGGCATATTCAATATGCCAAATACAGTAACGACAATAGTTCTCATTCCCCTGACCCTGAAAGAGCCTCCAATCATTGGGAAAAGACAAGTAAGAAGAGGCTGCTAAAATCTCAAGGCTGGGAGTATAGAAATATTACTGGCGCCTGCTCGAGTAAATCGAAGATCAATGGGATGACAGTGATGACAGTGATACAGTGAAGGCAGAAAAAATTGGATATATAAGTTTTTCTACAATTACTTTTCATTTTGAAATCTATTCTGAGAAAATTCTGAAATAACCATCAAAATAGAATGGAAAGTGAAATTGTAGTATGCATTAAACAAACTGCTTTCTCCAACATGTTTAGTGAAAATAAATTCATATTTATAAAAAGGTTTAGAGATAAAATGGGATTTTAATGTTTTATAATTGGCTATAATTCTTTAGTGAATTCAAATTATGGGTATTTCACATTATTTTCATTTGAGGATCTGATATATACTAGTCATATTACTATAAGTAAAGAGAAATCTATCAAAAGGAAAATTCCCTACTGTCTGGGGATCTTCTGCTTACAAAATGTGTATTTTGACATTTTTGCTGTTTCTTGATTTTGGGTTATTTATTTTCAGTATGTTTCTCTTAACATGCCCTTCATTCTTTCATTTCTACCTTTCATGGAAGAAGCACAATGTACTCATTTTTCCTTGAGACCTCCAGGAATAATAATTTGATGCCTTTTATCCTTGTTTACCTCTTTGAAGGCAACATATTAAAACCTTCACCTCTGTACCCGGCTCTCTAATAGATTTGTCAGACTTGTCCCATTATAATATGCCTCTCAAGGGATATAACACTCCATCCTTCCCCAAAACTCTGTTCTTTTCCTCCTCTTCCACATTTTAGCTGATGGCAGCTCTATCCTCAACATTTCTGCGGGTCGTTTTTTTTTTGACTCTTTCTCTGCAACACATATGAACTCTTTAGAAAATTCTCCTATTTCTCCCTTTCAGATACAGAATACCCACAATCACTTCATGCCACATTCCATGATTCCATGATTCCATGATTCTATCTCAAGTGATTTACTGCCTATTAGTTGAGTGAATTATGTCTCTGCTCTTTTTTTGTTTATTAATGTTGAAAAATCTGCCTTTGACACAGCAGTGCCCTGAATGCTGGAGCATTACAATGACCTACTCAAGCTCCTTTGTTTCCTGCAACTTCATCTTCTCCCTTTATCCCTTACCTGGTTTGTTCAGTAGTTTCTTTTGTTGCTTTTCTATGCCTGGGTCTCATCAGACACCCTCTTGGCTCCAGGCCTTCAGACCTGCTGTTACCTCTGTTACTTCCTCCAGGTAACAAGGTGTACTTCCTCAGATCTTGACCCAGAACCATATTTTCAGGGATGCCTTTCCAAAACATTCTGTCTAGAATGATCATCTCCTCACAAGACCACCGGATACTTAGATTCTCTTTTCTTCCATTACTTCCCCATTGATGTCTTTTACATAGTGTATGTGTTTTATTTGTTTCTTTGGTTTTCTCTGTAATATATAATATATATTGTTATATAGTTCTCGGTCTTACACCTATTGCAAGGGATGCTCCATGAGAGAATAGTTCTTTGACTGCTTAGAACACAAAGTGCATCAAGCACTCAGTAGATATAGAATGACTTCCATAAATTCACCGAACAAAATGGTCATGTTTCTGTGTCAAATGCTTCACACATTGCCTTTGATTTTACTTTAGATTTCTTTTCTTTCTATACAATTTGTCTTTGACAAGACATGTGTTGGATGTTTGTAGCAGAAACTTTCCATACTGAGCATGACACGGGAAAATGAGAAAATGCTACTGAATTAATGGAGTTAGGTGCAACAATTTTATTAATAGGCAAATTCAGGTGACTAAAAACTATAATCTAGTGATGTCAGTGAATATAACATTTTCGTCCATGTATTATTTTAAAATTTTTGGGCCACACCCAATGGTGCTTTGGGCTCTGTGCTCAGGGATCACTCCTGGTGGTACTTGGGGGACTCTATGCATTGCTAAGAATTAAACCTGGGTTGGCTGCATGCAAAGCAAGTGATTTGACCCCTGTATTATGTCTCCATCCCATGTTATATTAAAAAGGGTCTATATAAAAAACTTTTTTGAAAAGCATACCAGTTTATAACTCTAAAATAAATATTTATAGTCTCATAAGCTGTTATACTCTACAAATTAATAGTGGTAGAAAAACATATTGGAGTTATGTTTAAATATTGGTGACTTATGAATAAAATTCTTCATCAGGAAGACCTTAAAACCACAAAATAATTCATGAGAGAAAACTGCTGAGGGTAAAAGGAGATGAGTGGGTGGTAGAATAAATTAAATTATTTGAAAACATTAAGATGACAAAGATTGCTACAATTAACTTCTATGCCATATTACTTAAGAATATTCACCCACAATTATAGAGGTATACATTTGAAAAATCAGATTACTGCAGTTAAACAACATGAGAAATCACTTGTGGCTCCAGTTTGGATACAGTGTTCTCTGTTTAGTTCTGATTATCTATGCAGCACTGGTTAATGTAAAACAGAAGAGCCTTAATGGGCACTAGCTCTATTTTAGAATAATGAAGCTAGTTCAGCAAAGAGATTTATTTAATAAGCGCTTTGACATACTAAAGCTACAGATAATCTGTGCTATTTTCCTTTATTTATTTATTTATTTATTTATTTTTGAGTCAGCATCGATATGAATATGTGGCAAGTACAGATAAATGGAAAGATAGCAGAAAGACTTTTATTGTTAATATATGAAATCATGCACATGACAAATTCTGGTGTACATTTAGTTTGTAGTAAATGATGCATTAGCATTGGAATCCCACCTCTGGTATGGAGTTTATGAATTTGATATTGCGATGAACCATCAGTATTGACTCTTTGCCTCTCTGAGCTTGCAGTGTTTCACTTTGAGACCAAATACATGTTCCTGTTCTACTTTAAGAATTATTAAAATGTTATTAGTTTTTGTGCTGGAGCGATAGCACAGCGGGTAGGACGTATGCCTTGCATGCAGCCCACCTGGCCAACCCGAGTGCGATTCCTCCCCCTTCTCGGAGAGCCCGGCAAGCTACTGTGAGTATCTCGCCCTCACTGCAAAGACTGGCAAGCTACCCGTGATATATTCAATATGCCAAGCACAGTAACAGCAAAGACTCACAATGGAGATGTTACTGGGCCTGTTTGAGCAAATCGATGAACAATGGGAGGACAGTGACAGTGACCAATAAGAATGACAATATTAAAATAGAACTTTTCTGATGCATAATGGTTAGAGTATAAAGCAACAATGCTCAAACATATAATATAAAAAATTGAAAAAATTTTCTGGTATTCTTAATCAGTGTGAATTTTCCTCTATGTGTCACAGGCACATACTCAAACTGCAAGTTACACACATATAATAAAACATGGTAAGTATAATATTAAATATACACATGCCATTTTCATTTTGTGCCCTTTCGCTATTTCAGAACTAGAGGTCCTTTACAACCAGATTTTAGGAAGGTAAAGAGAACCTGGCACACATACTTTTTAGAATTCTTGCCTAACATGATAAGCATCACCTTTGCTTGTATTTCGCACTCACATCTCATGTGAGATTCAGTCACTTTATCATATTTTGACATGGAGGCTGAGAAATGCAGACTTTGGCTGGCAGGAGTATCTTGTACTCATGTCTTTGCCATAGAAAGGAGAATGTTAGCAGAAATTTATTGATGCCTCAGCCAATACATGTCAGATGGCATAACTCTTAAAATTGCATTCTTTCAAAGAGTTGATGTTTAGCCTCTCTGTAGATGGTAGGTGGTTCAATCTTGTAGGTATTGACTTCCAGTGTTTTCACAGGGCTCTTTTATTGGAAAGCTTCCTAACATTGTTAAGACTCTTCCTTTTCTCAACATGCTATATGTAATATTGGGACAAAAATTTGTATATTCTTGAAATGTGGGCTCAATTTTCACGACTTGTTATGGTTAGCAGACATGTTTTATTTGTTTGTTTTGGATTTTGGACCACAGCTGGTGCTGCCCATCCTGGTTCTGCACTCAGGGATCATTCCTGGCAGGACTCATGGGACCATACACAGTCCCAGAGATCCAAACCTGGACCGGCCACAGGCAAGGCAAGAGCCGTACCCACTACACTTGTGCTCCGACACCAAGTCAGGAGATATTTATTTATTTATTTATTTATTTATTTATTTTTTATTAGTGAATCACCGTGAGGTACTATTACATACTTACAAATGTTTGTGTTTGCGTTTCAGTCATATAATGATCAGTTACCCATCTCTCCACCACCTCCACTAGTACCCATTCTCCATCACCAATGATCTCAGTATCACACCCCCGTCCCCGCCTCTGTGGCAGGGGATTCAACACCCCCCACTCCCCTCGCGCCTCAGTGGCAGGGGATGTCCTTTTGTTCTCTCTCTCCTTTTGGGTATTGTGGTTTTCAATAGAAGTATCCAGTGACCATCCTGTTCAGTCTATAGTCTATTTTCGGCAGCTCCCAACCTGAGCATTTCCTCCCAGCACCTTTACTTGGTGTTCCCTTCTCTGTCTGAGCTGCCTTTTACTCTAGCATGTGAGGCTGGCCTTCAAGCCATAGAGCAAACCTGATCCTTATCTCTACTGTTCTTGGGTGTTAGTCTCCTGTTTTGTTACTTTATATTCCAGATGAGTGCAATCTTTCTTTGTCTGTCCCTCTCTTTCTGACTCATTTCACTTAACATGATACTTTTCATGTTGATCCACTTATATTAAAATTTTATGACTTCGTCTTTTCTAACAGCTACATAGTATTCCATTGTGTAGATGTACAAGATTTTCCTTAACCAGTCATCTGTTCTTGGGTACTCAGGTTTTTAAGTTAGGAGACATTTGTAACTTACCTTCATGGCTTAGAATATGTGCCTCCTAACAATCTTTGATTTTAGTTGGACTTTGTAACCCAAGGTCCTATCATATGAATTGTATCCTCACACACTGCATGTATTTACGCTCAACATATTCATCCTTGATCCCATCTCAATTCCCAAGATAGATGTTAGAGCTATATTCATACCATCAGGAGATTCCCTAAGAGAATTGTATAAAGTGGTGAAGGCTGCATTTTAGCAACTTTCTATATTTCTCTTCTGTCCTTTTTTTCCATTGTTTGAAATAAATCTTTAAGCATGATTCTTTTTACTTTTTGTTTTGAAAATCAAATCCAGAGCCTCACACATTTGAAGCATTTGCTCCGACTACAGAGACACTTTCCTGACCTAAATTTGAATTTTATCTAAGATCCAGTCAAATTACAAAATAACTGAATTATATAAGCTTTTTTTATTTTTTTAAATTGAGACACTATGAAATATAGAGTCACAAAGTTGTCCATTTATTTTATTGTTCTATTTTTTATACTTTGAAAACTTTTTTTTTCAGTTTTCTAAATGCAATATAAATACAATATGTATTCATATTCATTTGGTCAATGATTACTTGCAAAATTTCAAAACTCTCTTTTTCTATACTCTTTACTCCTTGCTTTGGTCTGGTTTCTCAGTGTCACTGAAAATATGAAAGATATGTTTTGGAAATAATAGTGTTCTGAACTTATCAGACACCTCTGCTTTTACTGGAAGTGTACATTTGTTTTCCGTAAATGCCTAACTCAAATGTGTGTACTCTGAAGTACATTGTATGACCATGGCTAACAAAATAGACATACTACTTCATCTCATGGAACTTAGTGTAGTAAGGAGATGACTATCAAAGAAGCACACTTACAAATAAATAAAAAGTGCCAACAGGAGGGGTGTGGTAAAAAACTTTGATGTAAGAAATTATCTGAATATATTGATTGACAGGAAATCCCAGAGTTTTCCTTAGAGAGGACAAAGTTGAGCTCTAGGATAAGAGAAGAATATGTGAATGGCTATGACAGGAAGAGCCAGCCTCAATTAAGGGCAGTTCTTTCTCTTCCGGGAGTTTGGTACTCAACTGATGCCACATTATGAAATGTGGTCTTTACCATAACATCAGAGCAGTGCCCAATACATGGTGGGGAGATAGGAATCCAGATGTACCTAGAAAGAATTGGGTATGCTACAATATGGAGAAAATATGTAACAACAAAGGAGGTGCCAGTTGTCTGTTGATATTATTTGCAAAATCCTAACGTAGAGAAATAGTCCATTTTAGGGTGACTGTGGTAATATAGGTGGAGAGATGTGTATAAATTTTATAGCTATTTTTGGGGAAGAATTGAAAATGTTTGTTTATGAATGAATTTTTTTAAAGGATAGGAAAGTATTTAAGATAGGTAACAGAACAATACAATTTGGAGCCATTCACTGAAACCTAGAAAGATTTCAAGAACCAGCTTTTACAAAATAATGTTGCAGAGTTGTTTTTGGAAGAATTAAAGATGTTTAATATTTCACATTGATGTGACATTCTGGAAACACAGAATACTGAGTATCTTAGACCTCTCACAAGACAGTCTCTTTGAGTACTCTTTAAAGTTACAATACTTTTTTAAAACAATTTTTAAGAGTTTGTTCCTCTCTGTTATTGTTTAAAATGTTACCAAAAAAGAAACATGCCTTGAAGATTTAAAAATACAGTTAATATTTTATGGGACGCCTCTCATATTTCATCACTTTCAAGAGTGAGTAGGTTTTGTTCTGTTCTGTTTGTTTCCTAGGTTTTTTTTTTTAATTTGCATTTCTGGGCCCTCCCTCCCACTATTTCTATCTTTTCTCAAGTATATTTTGCTATGAATGACTCCAATTTAAATAAAATGTACAGCAAATAGTCTAGATAAGAATAGGGTATGAGTGGAACAGGGAAAATTTTTATCATCAGAAAGGATGAGATATTTAAGAAGTATTTGAGGACAACACCTTGTTGCATAAATTTTTGTAACATGTTACAGGTTTTTTGATGGTTAAATATTTCACAAATATCAAAATCTGCATCATCAATGTGATTTAATAATCTGTTTTTTAATGTCATCCAGATTATTTGTACTGTTGAAGTTGCATTACCACAAATTAACAGCTTTAATAATAACAATAATAAATAAAGTCCTTAGGTGACTTTTCAATGGAGAATTGAAAAGATTCGTGTTTTTTCTATTCTGCCATTATCACTTTAAATTAGATCCCATTAGCTTTTCATTCATTATTAACATGAGACTAAAAACAAGATTGAAAGAGATTTTATCTGTAATAGAAAAATATTATAAACAAATATGAAGTAATAAAACTTATGAATTTTAATTTTGTTATCTTTGTGCTGGCATTATTTAATATTTTAAACTTCAATTGAAAAATTGAAATTGATGCATTTGTCACATTACACAAATTAACATCTTACTCTTTTCATAGGTCTCACATCTTTTGGGTGAAAAGAAGTCTACCCTTATGGGGCTTACAGGTTAAGTACACTTTATTTTATCCCTGTATATATTGACTTACGTATATGTCGCACAATACAGTTGGAGAGAAAACAATTGGCATTAAAAATGAGTTTGTTTCAGTACTCAAATAATTTTGATACACATCTAAGATTAATATTTTTATTACTTGTACTTGTTTGAGCCTGCATTTTTCGTATGTACACCTTCATTTATATTTTAATTTTCTTAATTTAGAGATCATGATTTTCTGTGCAGCTAATAGTACTGTTTCAGGCATACCGTGTTACTATACCACACCCACTACCAGACTGTCAGTGTTCTGCCACAGCCTCTAGTTCCCTTTCTTCCCCCTCCCTCCCACCAGTTGTCCTCCTCTTTTTACACACTCATCTGAGCCCGGCATTCTTGTTGTTGTTTTTGGGCTACACCTACCTGGTGATGCTCAGGGGTTACTCCTGACTCTGCACTCAGCAATTCCTCTTAGTGGTGTGCAGCGGGTATCAGATGGGATGTGGGGGATCTAACTCGAGTCAGTCTTGGGCAAGCAAGCTCCCTAGCCACTGTTCTTTATCTCCAGCCCCTGCATTTTACCTTTCAAGAATTTTCTCCTAATCAAGGTTGGTGTTCAGAAAGCTTACAAGTCCACAGAAATACAAAGTAAACCAGTGTTTTAAGATGTTGCAAGTTTCCCAGAATAACTTGGGCATTTCTGTTGTATATATTTGGAAAATCAATCAAAAACTCATAGCCATGTATGCTTCTGTTGAAATTATATTCTCAATGTCCGGAACATGATTGAGTCTTGTGAAGTAATTTTCAGATGAATCAGTGGCTCATATTAACAACAATAAAATTTTGGTCCCTAAGCAGGTAGGTTTGCAAATATATGCTCCCCATCAATGGAATCCCGAGGAAAGAGCGAGAAGATAAAAGGGAAAGAGTGTGTCTGAATGATATTCTTGAGATATTTCCTGGAGTCTTCTGCATCTCTTGTTTCACTTTATGTTAAATTTTATACCTCACAAGTCTTCTACAACTTCTTGTCTCCTCTACTTTTGTCTTCTGCTAACAATACTTTGTATTTTCTACTTCAAAAGTGGAAATGCAGTTGAAGAATAGTGTCTCTTAACATTACAGTTGAGCCCAGAAGGCATGGAAAGACTCAAAGCTTCTCTGTATAATGCAAATTTTAAAATACCCTAAGATAAAAGGCTTTCTTTATTTTTAAAATTATGATAATAGAAAACTCTGTAAGTTGTACATGCAATAATGAATAAATTCAATTATGCATGAATTGTTATAAAATGTGGAACACATTTTTATTCTGGACATTTTGTATTTTATGAGTCAATTGTACTTTATGTCTTGATTCAAAGATTTAAGCACTTATTAAAAATGCAGTATTTTAGTTTGAATTTTTGGGGGATGTGTGCGGGTCATGCCCAGCTATGCTCAGGGTCTACTCCTGGCAGATTAGGGGGATCATGCAATGAAATAGAACCCATGTATCCCATATGCAAAGCACGCAGTCAGTTCATTGAGAGATTGCTATGGCCCACATGTATAGTCTTTTAAACTTTGAACTCTATTCTTATATTATCCTTAAATGTTAGGTACACATAAAGGTGAGTATGTATTTCTAAATAGTTTTATATGACTTGAAAATATATTTTATTTATTTTCTTTTTTTATTAGTGAAACACCATGAGGTACAGTTGTAGACTTATGAAATTTTGTGCTTTGGTTTCATTTATACAATGATTGAGTACCCATCCCTCCACCGGTGTCCATTCCACACCTCCAATGCTCCCAGCATCCCTCCCACCTCCCCACCCCCATCCCACCCCACCCTTGTGGCAGGGCATTCCCTTTTGTTCTCTCTCTCTTTTTGGGTGCTGTGGTTTGAAAAAGAGGCATTGATTGGCTATCATGTTCGATCTATAATCTATTTTCAGCATGCATCTCTCATCCTGGCAGGGTCCTCCCAAACCCTTTACTTGGTGCTCCCCTCTTTATCTGAGCTCCCTTCTCCCTCAGCATGTGTGGCTGACCTCCAAGCCATGGAGTGAACCTCCTGGTACTTATTTCGGCTATGCTTGGGTGTTAGTCTCCCAATTTGTTACTTTATATTCCCCAGATGAATGCAATCATCATCTGTCTGTCCCTCTCTTTCTGACTCATTTCACTTAGCATGATACTTTCCATGTAGTACCACTTGTAGGTAAATTTCATGGCTTCATCTTTTCTAACAGCTGCATAGTGCTCCATTGTGTATATGTACCAGAGTTTCTATAACCAGTCATCTGTTCTTGGGCACTTGTTTTTTTTTTCCAGATTTTGGGTACTGTGAATAGTGCAGCAATAAACATAGAAGTGCGGATGTCATTTCAACTGTACTTTTTTGCCTTACCAGGATATATTTTCAGTAGTGATATTGCTGGGTCAAATGGGAGCTCAATTTCTAATTTTTTGAGAATCGTCCTGTTTTCCAAAAGGGCTGAACCAGTCAGCATTCCCACCAGCAGTGAAGGAGAGTCCCTTTCTTGCCACATCCATGCCAAAACCACTTGCTTTTGTTCTTTTGGATGTGCGCCAGTCTCTGTGGTGTGAGATGATATCTCATTGTTGTTTTGATCTGCATCTCCCTGATGATTAGTGATGTAGAGCAGAAAATATATTTTAGTTTCTTAAAATTTCTTTTTTCTCATAGTGATAATTTAAAATAATAATGTTAATGCTTTCACATGAGATTCCCTGTGTTCCACAAAAAATGATCCATAGATCAGTTTTACTTATAGAAAAATGTATGGGATATTATAATTTAGTGGTCCTGGAGAACAGTTGAAAAGATATTTATTTTCCCATCATAGTAAAACCTGACTGCCGGTGTTCATACTTATGGACTTACAGTTTTACACAATTGCAGGCTTTATGTTGTCACTTATATCAAAGTTAACTTTCCAGTTTTTCTAAGACAAATTAAAACCTTCAAACTCTAGGCTATCTGGCTTTCTTAGGAATATTGCTTTTTGGGTCACACCCGGCAATACACAGGGGTAAATCCTGGTTCTGCACTCAGGAGTTACTCCTGCCGGTGCTCAGGGGACCATATGGGATACTGAGAATCGAACCCGAGTTGGCTGCATGCAAGGCAAACGCCCTACCCGCTGTACTATTGCTCCAGCCCCCAGAAATATATATTTTTTAACCTCAAAGTCTATAACTAATTTGTACTGGCTATCTGAGATTATCATCTTATTTCTACCTAATATATATATATTAATGGCCTCACCAGGAAATGCTCAAGGGCTACTTCTACATTGCTGCTTGGGTGTTCTCTAGACATGAAGGACCTGGTGGTGTCATGAATTCATAATAGGCCTCTTGCCCACAAAGCATGTGCTCAGCTATTCCAGATAGTCCAGATATTCCCTTGGCCCCACGTGCTTGTTTATTTTGATTCTATTTACCTAAAGTTTTTAGAATATTGAAAGTGGAATGTTTCAGATATTTTTTCTAGTTGCTTTTTCAGCTTCAACAGTGTGTATTGAATATAGAATAGAGAATAAAAACAAATATGCAAATTTGTCTCAGGGATGCAGAGCTATCAATTCCAATTGTAAAGGAGAATTGTTTTTGAAATATATTTATAAACAATTCATTGAGAATATCCAGAAGTATTGGCCTGACTCATTTTTGTTCACTGATGTTACTCTTTCATTTTGTTCAAGGTAAGAGAAAGGATAGAACTATTCAGTTTGAAATTTATATTTCTTTATTTTCTGGAGACAAGAGATTTTGGAGTTTCTACTCAAGAGAGTAGTGGGAAAAACAGTTATCTGAGCAAAGGCTGCTGTGTATGATTATGCATATTAGGAATAGGCAAGAATCTTATTTACCTAGTCAGTCTGGTTAATCTAATCCCACATATTTATTTGAGGTCATAAATAAAAAAATTAAGGAATATAGAAAATGTAAAAATTAAATTCTAGGGCTTAGAACAATCTGCAACCTATCAACTGTAGACAGGTGTTTTTTTGGGGGGGAGGGCGGTAGCGGTGCTCAACACGTAATTCTGGCTCTCTACCGAAGAGTCGCTTCTGATGGAACTTTGGAGACCATATGGGGTGCCAGGAATTAAACCCTGACCAGCCACATGCAAAGCAATCATCTTAACTGCTGTACTGTCTCACCAGCCTTTACAAATAAAGATTAAAGGGGTCATAACACTTTCTATGCCATATTAGTTTATTGTATATATCTACATAGAGACATATATGCACATAAATATATATAGCCAGTAGTATTATCATGAATGTATAGTTTACTCTTCTGTATTTTCTCATTAAAGTATGATTTTTATTTCAGGTTTCAGTGGCACTGATAAGTTTATTTGAAACAATACTGCTTGGTTATCTCAGTTACAAGGTATGTTATTGTAATTAGATTTTTTTGCTGATAGAACATATTATTAGCATTTGCTCAGTATTAGTCTATTTATAATTTATACTCTGAGGATATCGAAAGCTCCTCTTAAACTAGTTTAGTATTTTGGATCTCTCTAGTATCTGATAAAAAAGCTTTAGTAATATAGTAATGTTTTTCTTTGTGGCTTAAAAATAATTTATATGTTCCTATGGGAGAATATCCCATTATACGCATGGCCACATATGGCAATCAAATGGAGTTGTCTTACTCGTTGTTATTTTCAATATGTTTTCCTGATCTGTACCAAAAAGAAAAATTAAGGAAGCAAAAACATGTCTCTTAGGAAGTATTTTAATTAATTCCCTTAGTTTTGGGTGGTTTACTATGGTTAGCACAATTTATCAAATTGTTATTGAACTCCTATATAATGAAGGGTTCTACTTTTTACATTGCGCTTTTTTTTTTCGCAAGAAGTTTACAATTCATTGTCCTGGTGGAGGGATGGGTACTCGATCATTGTGTAACTGAAACCCAAGCACAAAAATTTGTAAGTCTACAACTGTACCTCATGGTGTTTCACTAATAAAAATTTAAAAAAAAAGAAGTTTACAATTCAGTGAGGTATATATATATTTTCTCAAGAAGTTTACAATCCAGTGAGGCAGGATAAATTATACAAATAACAATAATAGAAGGCAGAATAATAGGTAGTTTCACTAAAGTCTGCTATAAAAACTCATAGTAAGAAGTCATAATATAGAATGAAAAGAAATTCTTGCCCAATTTAAACAAAAATTGGAGGCAGTGATATCTGTCTAGGAAGATGAAAAGACATGAAAATAGGTTTTCTAAAATTAACAAATACATACTAGAAGATGTACATATATATAATATATATACATATATACATATATATATATATATATATATATATTGCTGGAGCAAAAGCACAGCGGTAGGGCGTTTGCCTTGCACGCAGCCAACATGGCCGACCCGAGTTCGATTCCTCCGCCCCTCTTGGAGAGCCGGGCAAGCTACTGAGAGTATCTTGCCCACACGGCAGAGCCTGGCAAGCTCCCCATGACGTATTCGATATGCCAAACACAGTAACAAAAAAGTCTCCAATGAAGACGTTACTGGGCCCACTCAAGCAAATCGATGATCAACGGGAGGGCCTTTACTTTTACTTATACTAGAAGAAATGTAAATATAAACTATAAAAATGGTCAATATTTATTTGATCAAATATTGTTTGGTCAATATTGTTGGAAACATTTTGAGACAATATTCTGCTGCTCTTTGTTAGCAACACAAGATGGAAAGTAGAGGGAGGAGGAGATTAAACTTGGGAGTTATGTAATTAGAATTAGGCTTTAGAAGTTTGGGTCCAAAATGTATATATATATTGCTGGCCTTGTATTCCAAGAACACAAAATTGCAATAAAAGAGGAAAACTGAGACCTTGACTGGATTAAAAGTTTCATTAAAGATATTATGAAAGTAAAAACTAAAGAAGTCAACAGATAGACTGAGATAGATGAGGGAGAGAGTATCTCAAATAACATTTTAGATTTTTCTAAATTTGAATAATGGGACATGGCAATGAAACCATGAAAAGAAAGTGAGGTGGATAGGCAGGAGAAAAGAAATCAAGAAAAGAAATAAAATTAGAGTCAATATTTACTTGATCACTTGATACTCCGTTACTCATCGATTTACAGTAACGTCTCTATTCATCTCTGTTGCGTGCTAGCGTAGCCCAAAGGCATCTGCTTGTTCTAGGAATATGCAGAGCCTCAAACCGATCATCCAGGGTCTTGACGAAGAAGTCTGACCACCTTGTAGGTGGGCGTCCACGCGATCTTTTGATGTCCCGTGGAATCCAGTCAGTAATGGCTCTAGTCAAGCGGTCATCTGTAAACATCATTATGTGTCCAGACCATCTGAGTTTTTATGCCTTGGCAAGTGAGACAGAGTCCCTGATTCTTGAGCGTTGACAGAGATCGGAACTCCGGATTTTATCTCTCATTTGAGTGAATCATGATACTCCAAGCATAGCTCTTTCGATTCCTCTTTGAGAGACCCAAATAGCATTCTCATCCTGTTTTGTAGGGCCCAGGTCTCTGAGGCTTATGTTAATGCAGGAAGAACAGTGGAATTGAAGAGATGTGCTTGTAGCTGGAGGTTCTTTGTCCTCTTAGTTATTTTTTCAACGCTCTTGAAGGCATTCCAAGCCACTCTCTTCCTCCTGCGTAACTCAGGTGCCAGGTCATTCATCATGTTTATTTCTTGACCTAGGTGTATATAACTGTTGCATTCGGAGATGGTGGTTCTGTTGAGAGTGAATGGAACATCAGGAACAAGACTGTTTCTCATGAACATTGTCTTTGTGAGATTCAGTTGTAATCTGACCTTTCCACACTCAAGGTCGAAGTCGGTTAGCATTTCTGCTTCTTGGCTGATGTTTGGTATTATTAGAATGATGTCATCAGCAAAGCGGAGGTGGTGTAATTGCCGACCATCTATCTTCACTCCCATTCTTTCCCATTCCAGTCATCGCATGATGTTATCGAGGGTGGCACTGAAGAGTTTTGGTGAAATGGTATCACCCTGCCGAACCCCTCTCTTGACATGGATGATGACTTCTTTGTAGAATGGTGAGATCCTGGTAGTGAATCCGTAATAGAGCTCATGGAGGATTCTGATGTATTGAGTTTGTATGCCCTGATTGGCTAGGGCTTCAATGACCACTTCTGTCTCAACAGAATCAAAGGCCTTCTTTACATCAATGAAAGTTAGACAGAGTGGCATCTTTAACTCCTGAGAAACCTCAATGAGCTTAGTAATCGTATGGATATGGTCGATGGTGCTGAATCGTTGTCCTTCATCTAGTGTTCTGCCAATCCTATTCAGGATGACTCAAGTGAACAGCTTGTAGATGACAGACAAAAGGCAGATTGGGCGATAGTTGCCAGTGTCGTGGATGTCTCCCTTCTTGTATAGTAGTACAGTCTTGCTCGTTTTCCATTGGGATGGAACCTTTTATTCAGACAGGTAGCGTGTGAAGAGCCGAGTATTGATGAGTACTGATGGTACGTTTTTCAGGTGTTCAGATCTGACCTTGTCTGGGCCAGGTGCTCTTTGTTTCTTTACCGACGAGATGGCATGTTGAATTTTGGAAGGGAGAACACTGGGAATGACATATCCATCCTGCGGAATTTTGTATGTGGGCAAGTGTCAATATTAATTAATGGAAATGATTTTGAAAATGTTTATGAACAAACAAGTTTACATGGCATGCGAGGAGCCGGAAACTTAAGGAGAGACTCATAAAGTGTTGGCATCATTTTCACAGAGATAGTGAACAAAGCTTGCAAATCCAATGAGAAGGGATAACCATCCAGGGTGAAATTAAGACCCATGTTTATAAAGATATGTTGAGTTGGGATCTGTGACTTCCCGAAGGGAGGGAATAGGTTTCCTTGTAGCTCTGTAGCACTGTTCTCCCGTTGTTCATCTATTTGCTTGAGCAGCCCCAATAACATCTCCATTGTGATATTTGTTGATACTGTGTTTGGCAGGTACTCTGTGGGCAGGATACTCTCGGTAGCTTGCTGGGCTTTCTGAGAGGGACAGAGTAATCGACCCCAGGTCAGCTGTGTGCAAGGCAAACACCCTACCCACTGTGCTATCCTTCCAGACAAGGTTTCCTTGTAGTTTATGTAAAGTGGAGATTTTGGAGGTAGCAGATTTGAGAACATCTACTACTTACTTTTCTTGGTCACCCGCAGCAGTACCTGGGGAAATCTAGTACTAATGAGAGTCTGTGATAAGTCCCAGCTGCCTACAGACCATGTCTCACGAGCCCCCGAGGCAGTTGTCAAAACTCACCTGGATGCCACTTTGTTCTTCCTGGCAATGATCCCCTGCACCATATTTCTCAGCAGCTGTGGAACTCAGGCTGATTTAAGGAATTGCAGTTTGTAGGAAAGGAAAAATCAGCTCCAAATCTTATCCAAGCTCTTTGGGTTCATTTCCTTCCATTATAGAAAATAATTTTAGGAAGAGACAGAGTGGAGTACGTTTATTCAGAAATAACGAGAGAGATGCATGGGCTTCTGCAGAGTAGAAATCAAAGTGCATTCTAAACAGGATGTGCAGACTTTTTCCCCAGAATGGGATAATATGCCCAAAAGTAAGAAAGAACACATCTTAGCAGAGATGTGGCTAGTGTAAACTCAGTGCATATCTCAAGAGGAGATGTGGCAACCTTGTTCCTCTTCTTTTGCTAAGTTACCTTCCCAAACTACCCCCGCGTCCCTTGCTGGAGTGCTTACCCAACAGAGAGAGCTTGGAGCTGCTAGTGACCTTTTTATAGACTCAGTGTGGTGGCCTTTGCTCTAGCAGTGGATCCCCTCCTCCCTGACAATCCAGTTGTGTTCTTGTTATGGAATTCTGTATTTCGGTGGTTTTTCTGGCCAAGGTCTTGAGATGAATCCAGTGGCTCAAACGGGTTGTTTTAGGTTTCACACAATATTGTTACCATTATACACTACCATTCTCCCCTTTCTCTTTTATCATGCATAAACCAAGACATTTCTAATATAGCACTCATTAGATTACTTTTTTTTTCTTTTTGGGTCACACCTGATGATGCGAAGGGGTTACTTACTTCTGGATTTGCACTCAGGAATTATTCCTGACAGTTCTCAGGGGACAATATGGGATACTGGAAATCAAACCTGGCTTAGCCACATATAAGGCAAACCTTACCCGCAGTGCTATTGCTCCAGCCCCTAGACTACTTTTAATCCTTGCATTTTGAAGGAAAAGAACCCAGTACAAATGCTGACTTCATTGCAAAAAATAATCTGTTATCTGATAAAAATAAGACATATTTTATAAAGTTAGTAAAATGAATAAATGCAATGGAAACTATAGAAAGAAAAGTATGGGAGCTTTTGAATATGTGTCTAGATTTTGTATTTATGAGAAGAAATATGTTGCAAATATATAAGGAAATGGAATTTACATGAAAATAGACTATCAAGTTTAGCAATAAACTTGAGGAAAGACCATTGAGATTACAATTTATGAGGTTATTTGCTATTTGCCTATAAGATTCCAGTTCCAAAGGAATACAATTGGGGGCCAACGGTGTTAATTTAAGAATGTTGATTGGTTGAGTGGAGCAAGTGTACACTAGAAATAGTAGAATAAGGCAAGGAAAATGGTCTACTTGTTGGAAAACATCTGCATTATAAGCAAAAGGGAGAAGGAGAAGAGAAAATTATGACTGAAATAAGGTTTATAAAATGTAAATATGAACTGAAATAGACTAGAACTTGAGGTTTAGTGATTAACTGTGGGAATATTCAACTCTCTTCTGATAGCACATAACCAAAATGGTACCTGAAAGAGTATTTTCAAAGTAGAGAAGCTAAAGTAGTTTAAAGAGAGGTACTTTCTGCTCCTAAACTACCTAGAAAGTTAATTAGCTGAGTGAAGAACAGTATGGGGGAGCAAAATTAAAATAAGGTCAACCTGTATCCCATAAATTCTCCTTTAACTTCTCTGGTATTCAAGTATGTAAATGAGTGTTAAATGTGATAGAAAGCAGTGTGCTCAAAAAGTAGGCATGTTTTTATTCCCATAGTACAAGAATAAAAATATTAATCTGCATTTTTATTGTACTTGCTTAAAATTCTTGCTTAAAAGTATTGCTAAGTTAACTTTGGCACTTTGCTAATAGAAGCCTTAAATTTAAGTCATTTATATACAACAGTGGGATAGATATTCCATTGCAGTCATTCTGACACATATGTATCTATTGTCCTGCCATTTATAAATGAGAGTGACACTACCCAGTATAAAAAGCTATATAATATTACACATAAATACAACATAATGCAAAACAATATATTTAGCTGTCTATCATATTATTATGACCATCATAAAATATTAGTGCTTCGTTTAGATAGAGGAGAGGTGGATGATGTATGGTAGGTAAGTAATATGTGTAGAAGAGAACAGAAAAGAGGATTCATGTGACATTGAAAAATTATTCCGCCATTAATTACTGCCTTTTTTTCCCTCTTACAAAATTAGTGAATACTTCTGACAACTTCAGAAGAAATAGATTTTTAAAATGAATAAATGAAGAGGTGATTAGTATGACTCACTGTCACTGTCACTGTTCTTCCGTTGTTCATCGATTTGCTCAAGCCAGCCCAGTAACATTGTGAGACTTGTTACTGTGTTTGGCATATATAATCCGTCACAGAGAGCTTGCCAGGCTTTGCTGTGCAGGCAAGATACTCTCGGTTGCTTACCAGGGTCTCCTAGAGAGGCGGAGGAATCGAATTCGGGTCGACCGTGTTGGCCACGTGCAGGGCAAACGCCCTACCCGCTTCAGCCATTAGTGTGACTATATAGACAAAAATTTGGATAGCAGAATCTCAAATGAGCTCTTTTCCTTATATTTAAAAACATTTATTAAAAAAATAATTATAGGCTTATTTATTTTAAGTATTTCTTGATCTTTGATACTATTAGTCTTGAAATATCAATATAATTTAAAATTTATTTATATGTGTACATATACATTATGTGTATAGTCACTATCTAAAATTCATGTAGCATCTAGAAATATTTTTTAATTCTTGCAATTGACCATTAAATTAATTCTTTAGAAATTCTAAATTAAGTGCTAGAATTAATCCTTAACAAGTAAAGCAGTTTAAAATGTGAAGAAGATTGAATTTTTTTGAAAAACAAAGACATGAGTAAAAGCAGCACAAGCAAAAACTCTTTAAAATATACGTTGTGGTTAGTCAGTTACTAAAAGTTTCTGACATCAGCTTGTTTTGTATTCTGTCCTACAGCAGTTCAGGTCTGTAATTAAGTCACCATTCCATTCATATTTACAGTTGCTTGGGAAGCCAAAGGCAGTGATTGCCCATAAATATCTCTATGTCTCTATCAACAGCATTTAGAATGGAACTCTATTTATATACATACAGTCATTAAATTGAAAGGAAACAAAAACAAACCCGATCCTAATCCCCAAGACTCTGCAACTAACCTTGTAGACTTTTAAAAATTACAGTTCTTTTTCCTAGAACCACTTAAAAAAAGAAACAATTTTGAAGTTTTAACATCACAAAGGGTCTATTTCTGGAAAGAACAAAGAATTTGGACTAGGATTTCTACATGCTGGTAATTGTTTGCCATTCAGTTCCCTGAAATGGTATATGTAGCCATTGTTGAGTTTGCATTTAGCAAAACATAATAAGACTGCTAATGGCTTCCATTCCAATTATTTTTTCTGTGCGTTGTTACAATTTTTTAAATCTTGTGCCTATTTCATAAAATTAGGGTCTTACCTTGAGGTGCTCTAGAACAGAAATACAAGTAGAACCTTGAAAGTCCAGGGACAGCCAGACTCCCTAACTGCTTCGTTGCCATAGGCTGGCCTCTGGGACTCTGACACACATGCTTGTCTCCTGACATCCACCTTCTGTTGAGTTCTATAGTCCTGGTCAGGCAGTGCTCTTGATTATATACACTTTGAAGTGACCATGGAGTTCACTCTTAGGATGCGCATCCTAGAATATAGCTACCTTTGTCTTCAAATTGGCAGAATCGTTGCTTCCATCTCTGTTCAACTGTCCTCTCATTTTCAGATGTGTTAGGCATAGGCCAAAAGCATTTCTATATCCTAGCCAGATTCTTTAAGTGCACCTTCTCCCTCAGCTTGGGAGGTGAGAGCACCTCTAAACGAACAAAAGAGTTTTTATTGCTTCCATTTCTTTCATCTTACTCCTCCCTCAACCAGGATATATATATATATATATATATATATATATATATATATATATATATATATATATATATCTGGAGATGGGCTCAGAACTAATCACAAGAACTTTAGCACACAGACAGCAGCTGATCTAAATTTTGTTTTGCATTGTGGGAATACTCTGTTACTAATGTTTTTAGCCCTTTGGACCCTATGGAAAAATAAAGGTTTCTCATTTTATATCCAGTAGCACTGCACTGTAGTATTGTCCCCTTGTTCATTGATTTGCTTGAGTGGGAACCAGTAACGTCTCCATTAGGAGACTTGTTACTGTTTTTGGCATATCAAATACACCACGGTAGCTTGCCAGGCTCTACTGTGTGGGTGAGATACTCTCCGAGGGATGGAGGAATCGAACCCAGGTGCAAAGCAAATGCCCTACCTGCTGTGCTGTCGTTCCAGCCATTTATATCCAGTAGTAGAAAATAATTGGGAAATAGCGGGTATTAGATACTAGTGACTTTCTACTATGGATCTCTTCATAAAAGTATAAGGTTCTTTAGGAAGTTCATTGATTTTTTTCACTGGATGTCACTGAGGAAAATTTTGATGATCTATCAGCAATATTGCTGGTTTTCTGGGTGTGGGATCTGTCAGCTGTGTAAAGTTACCGGAGTCTGGAACATGTTTTAAGGCTCTAAATTCACCTTCTTGAAATTATTCCTTTCTTGGAATGAGAGGCCCTGTGTTTTCTTTTTATAACCAGGACCACCTGTGCCACCCCGACTGTTCTTGGGGGGTCTCGAGTGCCATGCCCAGTAGTGCACAGAGTCCTCCAAAGCTATAACTAACAATACTGGGGTAATAAATGGTACTCAGTGCTGAAACAGGGCTGTGAACCCCTTCAGCCCTGTACTCTTACCCCAGCTCCTAAAATTTGTTTGCTTAAAAAACTTAATACAAAATTGAGAGAAAACACCATAAGAAAAATATTACCTAAAAGTCACCGATGAAAACTTGTGATTCTGTATTTTGTTATGTAAAATTATTTTAGTAACTTGTTAATGTGTACTTATTCCTAAAGAAATTCTGAATGTTGTATTTCCCTGCGTAATACAATCCAGTAAAACTGACTTTCATTGTACAAATTCTTTCTTTGAAGGGAAACATCTGGGAACAGATTTTACGGATACCCTTCATTTTGGAAATAATTAATGCAGTTCCTTTCATTATCTCAGTAAGTCCTATGAAAATCTTTTTATTTTCAATAGTCCTAAATAAGGCCTTTGCATGAAAATACTAACTAATGTAGTTACTCAAATGAATTTAGACCTGTTAGAATTATGGTATTACATGTAAGTAGTAAAATTAGATGGATAACTGGATTGTGAAATTATATAAAAACTAAAAAGATTTGAGTACGATAACACAATGAAATTCTTTTTACAAATATATGGCCTAAAGATATTATTTAAGCATATCAATGTGATCCAAAATGGTTAGAAGTACATCATTCTATTCAATATGCAAAATCTATTTAATATGCAAAATATTAAGTAACTGAAAGAAAGTATTTCAGTTTCTGAAAATGAGAATTCTTCTTATTTAACCATGCAATTTATTAAATTCTCTCTTTCTTAAGAAAGTTTCCAATAGTCAAACAGAAAATTGTTTTATTAAATATATTGCCATGTACTTTAAATTTGACCATATTTATTTTCCATTCCATACATAAGCAGATAACGTTTTTGCATTGCAAAATTGTATTTTAATTTTAATTGAGAGTATTTTAAGTGTCTTTTGGGATCATGTTTCTAGCACTTTCAGTTTTTTCTTTTTTAATTTTGAAAATAAGTAGAACCTGAAGCTGTTGTGACTTATTATAATTAGTTTAATTTGCATGATTTATGTAGAGAATCAAATGGAATTGAATATAATGATAAGCTAACTAAACATAATTCTAAGTGAACAGGATTTTCCAGTTTTAACTAAAAGATTTGAATCTCTGAAGAGTGAGTGATATAGTCTTTATCTACTTTTTACCCCAAGTTGCAGACAGATCATGGCAATTATAAATTGTCATACTAAAACAACAATCATTGTATTAGCAGTTTTATATTGGATATAAGGGCAACTTTTTCCTGCTTCCATATCAAAAAGTCTCCAATGGAGACGTTACTGGGCCCGCTCGAGCAAATCGATGATCAACGGGAGGGCCTTTACTTTACTTTACTTTACTTAGAAAAGAAGTTAAATATTATTTCTGCTTCTGCATTTTCTTTAGTGAAAAGAATATAAACAACTTGCTGCATTTTAAATTAGCATTTTATCTTTATTCAGTTTTTAATAGTACTTATTTGTTTTCAATCTGTTGACATTATTTCCTGCTTCAAAATCAAAGTTTAGTTTTTATTTGTTTTTCAGATATTCTGGCCTTCCTTAAGGAATCTATTTGTCCCAGTCTTCTTAAATTGTTGGCTTGCCAAACATGCCTTGGAAAATATGATTGTAAGTATAACAGTGACATGCAAATTCAAAAATACCTTTTGACTCTTCATTATTTCTTATTTTAATTAATAGATTAAACAGAGAGAGAATATGGTTTGAGGTCTTAATCATAATTCTTTTCATTTTGATTTCTGCGACAAATATAAACTCATTCTCTCGGAATATTTTTAGACATATTTAAATTTGTAAGTGCTTTCTTTTAAAGTTAAAAATTTTACATAGTACCGTAGTAAGCAATTTTATTGCAATCCTTATAAAAGTGAAAATATTCTAAAATAATTAAAGTGCTTTTTAAATGCCTACATTAATAGATATAAAGGGACTAGTTCAGTTTTATACAGGTCAGAATGGAATCTTATTGAAATGCCCTTATTGCTGAATCAATACTCTTTTTTGAAGACTGAAAAAATGATGAACAAAAATGCCTTTGATTTTCTAAATTACTCCAAAACAAAGATAATTGCTATTTGGAGTGGTCAAACTTCGAAGTCCATTTTCTCATTACAAATAGTCTTCAAGGGCAATATACTAATGTGTAATAGGGTGTCTATAAGGGTTCAGAAAGCAATCTGGACAATGGTTCTTAACTTTAGGCAGTCATGTCTTTCATAAAAATATCAGATATTTTGTAAGGAGACGTTCCTAACTTAACATAGTCTTTTTTAGATTTAAATGGATTTTGTTGAGAGCAGAATATTGGGGGAAAAGGAACTGGGAGGTAGAATATATGGTTCAGAAAATCACCATAATTTGGGTCTAGAAGTACTACAGCTGCTAAGGCACTTGCTTTGCGTGCCGCTCACCTGGATTTGATCCCCTGATCCCTGGCACCACATATGGTTCCCCAAGCCTGCGTGGTTTATTCCTGAGCTCAGAGCCAGGAGTGAGCCCTGAGCACTGCCAGGTGTGGCCCTAAAACAATCAACAAACAAAACATAAAAAAGATCACCAGAGTTGTGTCTTGCTCAGGGCTGATCCTTATTGTAAGAATTAATTTAAAACCTAAAATATGTATAATAGGCCTTGATACTTATGAACAAGCAATCAGATATTTGTTCTTTAGTTAATTATTGCACACATAAATTGCCCATTATTGTGCAATCTACTATATTGTAGGCACTTTTATCTGAAAGGCATATAATAAAACTTCCCTGTTAATTTTTTTCCCTCTTTAAAAGGGAATGCAAACACTGCATTAATGGACTATTTACAGGGGCTGGAGAGAAAGGGCTTGCCTTTTACACAGCACACCTGGATTTGATCCCTGGCACTTTGACACCCACCAGGAGTGATCTCTGAGATCAGAGGGATCAGAGCAGAGCCAAGAGTAAGCCCTGTGGATTATAGAGAGTGGCCTCCCAAAAGTATAGATACATATGTGTGTGGGTCAATATTATTAATTTTAATACACTGATAAGATTTTTCTAATTGCTAAACTCATTTTACTCTTAGATAAAATATAAGTGAAAATCATGACAAATACTTAACCAAAAGGGATATTGGGCCATGAGTTGATTATTCAACTCCGTCTAATTTAAAGAAATTAACCAAATAAAAAATCATCAGATGAGAATCGAAGGTTAAAATGTTGTGATATTTATTAAATGAAACAATGAAGCTTCATTGCTTAAGGCATGCAATAAAAATGACTAATTTTGCCTAAATTATTAAAAATACAGTTACCGATATTTATGTGATAGCATATGTGTCATTTCATTCTTTCTTTTTTTGACGGATGTTTCTGGAGCAAAAAAAATAATTGATTAGTTACTGGTGAAAGAGGATAAATAAATTTAGAAAGCAATGGAAAATGGACAGTATATATTAATATTGCAAAACACTAACTTTAAATGGTTGCTGTATGATTATTTCCATGGTTAGGATTTTCTTCTGACAACTATAACACAAATTAACAAAGAGCTTAGCAATGTACTGAATTTAGGTTTAGTGAATTGGTAATTTCACGATAGTTGGTAAAACCCAATATCTGTGCAAATACACAGGTTGCATTCCCATCATTTGGTTGCATGAAACTCCAGTGGTTACTTCATATAAATGCTTAGAAATATTCATTTGGTATGAAGGTGTGAAAAAATGAGAGATTCTTATGAATTTTATACAGTATTACAAAATTGCTTACCAGAGATTTACAACAAATTAGATCAGCTGTGTGTTTTGAATGATTGCTCTTTTGGGGGGAGCGCTTAATGCTGATTATTATAAAATTTAATATCTTTCAATTGGAAAGGTAAAATGATAGATTGGATCAACTTTTTTGCATAAATAATGAGATCACATTTTAAAACATTTGTTCATTGACTATCAAAAATTAAAACATAACATTATACCCATCTAAAGTATATGTAGATATAGTGGGTGTACATGTAATAGTTGTTATCTAATGCATTGTAAGATATGGAATGAATATGTTACATGTATTCAGTCCTCTTCAAATTTTTAAGTATACTTTTTTGTATCATTATAGAATGATCTACATAGAGCCATTCAGCGTACACAGTCTGCAATGTTTAACCAAGTTTTGATTTTAATATCTACGTTACTATGCCTTATCTTCACCTGGTAAGATTTTTACCTATCAGCACTTTTACTATTTTTAATTAAATCACAGTTAATAAAAGAAGCATTATGATGAACCACTTAAATTAATAGCTCGCTAAAATAAATGAATTGACATTCACTGTAGAATGTAATTGATCACTCACAGACATAAAAGTAATATATTTTCTTCAGCCTTAACAAAAAATAAAAACTGAATCTACAGCCAGAAAGCACATAAATCACTTGGTTTGGATATTTATCGCATCTCTGGCATCTTTCCAAGTGCTGTAAACAATCAAATCACAAAATTTGTACTTCATGCCGTAGTTGTCAAACAAGAATGTTTCCTTCAAGCCCCTGACAGAGGTGAACTTATCTATTACAATCTTCGTAGCAGAGACACCTTGGAGAGAGCTGTCACTGCCTTCACTGCCTCTACCTGTGCTTTCTCCTGATATGAGTTAGTGTGCAGTCAGGCAGAAAGCAAGGGCAGATCGTCTGACAGAGAAAGGCATGACCTGGCACTTTGCTTTATCATAGAAAACAGTTCTTTTTTTATAAGGTCCTGCTTTGACAATTCCAAAGCAATGCAGTATGAAATGGTGCACTGTGTAGATTTATGCAGATCCTTAACTTAAGAAAAAACAAAGATAATAAATTGAGATAGTAGAGTAGATGACACACTATTTTTGGTTTGAGTCTTAGTATGTGTGTTTGTGCTTTGGCCTGGATTTGATTTATTGTGAAAGAGGAAAGTTAATTAGGAAGCAATAAAATAAGAAAGTTGCACCCATATATTAGTGCAACCAGAGTTGGGGGTAAATACAGCTGTAGTCAAAGTATATATAAATATAGATTTAGACACAGAGGGTTGACATAGCATGAGTAATATGACTTGTATTTCTAATAAATGCATTCAAATAGTCTTACTGCATACTTTTATATTTTAAAAAGTATGCAAATTTTTAGATTTAACATCTTTAATTACATCTTTCTAAAATTGAATGCATGATATTTTATCATTTAAATTTTTTCTCTTTTTAATATATTTTTTAGTTTCCATCTATTAGTGCCTGGTTGCAAAAATAAAATACGTTACAGCTGTTTAAAGTCATTAAAAAGCCTTCATTTTAAGTTAATGACTTTGAATAATTGGAAAGTGCCATCATACTATGGAGAGTTTAAAATTTGTGTATACATTTCATGTAGTTCTATTTCAGTTGCTGAAAATTAAATAAAATGAATAAATTTTGACTATTTCAGGGGACTTTGAATTAATTTTACTTTTGAATTAATTTTAGTGAAGAGGCTATACTATAATATGGTATATTTTACAGAAGATGCACTGTAGCACTGTACTGTACTCCCGTTGTTCATCGATTTGCTGGAGCGGGCCCAGTAACGTCTCCATTGTGAGACTTGTTGTTACTGTGTTTGGCATATCAAATATGTCACGGGTAGCTTGCCAGGCTTTGCTGTGCGGGCGAGATACTCTCAGTAGCTTGCTGGGCTCTCTGAGCAGGACGGAGGAATCAAACTCAGGTCAGCCGGGTTGGCTGTGTGCAAGGCAAATGCCCTACCCGCTGTGCTATTTCTCCAGCCCAGTGTGTTATTGTACCTTGGTGAAAAGTGAAAAACTTTCTATGAAGCAGTTCCTTTGTCTATAACAGTGTTTTTCAACCATCTTCTGACTATTGCCCCCTTACAACTTTGTTTTATAGAAAATGAGATTTATATTTTATAGAAGATGAGATTTAATTTAGTAGTAAGAAAACATAAGTACTTTTAAAGATAACATTTCGTAGTTTATAAAATAATATAGAAGGCATTCATTCAGTAAGCGTCATCATTAGAACGAATCTTCTGCAAGGGGCTCTTGTTTTGTTACTACTGTCTGTGTACATGGTTGTTTCTTGGCTAGTTTATATTTTTGCCGGGGACAACTAGATGAATTTAGGCATCCTCTTATGCCAAAAGATGCAGTAATGTTAGGGAAAGAGTTGTTATGCTCTCAATGGATTTTCCATTATGCAATATTGTTCTCACTTGAGTGTTAATTATTTGCTTTCTTAATGTTTTGCTGCTTTTGTCATATGTTTCAGTTTTAGACAATTGAATAGTAGTTTTGACAGATATTATAGAACATTGCAACTGTTACCGATATGTTACTATGAGTTTATCTCTTAACACACAGTTTAACTGTATATTTAACTGTATATTTAATTGAGTATATTTAACTGTAGAAGATGCTATACTTTTTATAATCTTTATACTAGTGGATTTATATTAGTGTTTTTATTGAGAACGAAGAAAATGAGGCTTTGTGTGTGTGCATTTTCTTTAATATTAAAAGCAATATAACATCATAAATCATGATCATGTTGCTAAGGTAGAATGGTTTGCTATAATTCACTACTCGAAATGTACTTTGTACAGTGGTTAGGGCACATGTCTAGCAAGAGTCCAACCTGGGTTTGATATCACATGGCCCACAAGCATTGCTAGATGTAGCCCTAGGAACCCCCAAGCATTTCTGTCCATGGTTCTGAAGGGTCCTGAACAATGCTGGAGTGGTCTGGGTAGTCCAAGGCATCAAAGAACCCAAACATCACAGCATCATTGCATTGAACCACTCACTAGGTCTCTGAGAGTAGGTGGGGTCCCAGACCTACTGAGAAAGTCTGGGTTATACCCCACAGTGAACTTACACTCTATTAGTTATAACATAGAAACGGTATTGCAACAGAGTTAAATTCTTCCCTGTAAAATGCAAATATACACAAAGGTAGAGTGACAGAAGCAAATACAGAGGTCTAGACCCATTATATCAGAACAATACAGTTGGAGAATGATAGGCATGTATCTTGTTTCCTGCTATTCTCAAAACATAGTTTCAATGTAATGATTCAACATGGTTGCTATAGACTTACCATCACATGCATTGTGACTACTGTCAGCAGGAAGGGAAATGAGGCAAAATGCAGAAATGAGAACTTGATCATCAAGCCACACATATTTGAGTAGATGATCAGTAAAAATGTAGGCTAGCTGGGCAACAGTATGGCTGTGTGAATCATGGTAAGGAGAATTCTGGATGCTGTGTGATGATAGGGCAAGTCTGGGACTGAGAAGACATTAAAGCCCAAATGTACATCTTTGCTTAAAACGCAGGGGAATGCTAGTTTTGGAATCCATAGGAAAATTAATTTATTATGCTTTGTTTCTATGTTATTACATAAAGTTACTATTACCCACCTTTTAATTTTTTTTAATGAGGGTCAAATTAGATAATTTATAAAATGTCTCGGAATAGAATATGGGGCAGGTGTGAGACCTTCAAAAATTGTAATTTCCACTTAAAATTATGTTGATGTGATAATAAAGCTAAATTACAAAATGTCTATGCTTACTAAGTTACTAATAGTGTTTACCTACATATATGTGTGTATATATATGCATATATATGCACATCTGTCTACATGCATGGTCTTTATACACCTTCAAATATAAATGTGTGTTTTAAATTGTGGAGAGATTAGTCTCAAGTAATTGCTGTTACATCTTATAACAAAAATCCCTCTTCTTTTCCAAATCAGAACTTTTAATATACACATTATAATTTAAGCCCTCAATGATTCAGGAACTAATATTTGATGGATCGCCTATGTTTTTTCATGAATTTTCAATCTTAAAAATAATCTGTTTTGGAAAACTGCTATATCGTTTTAAAATGTATCTTCTCTTCTTGGTTATTAACATTACAAAGAGCTATCATTAAGCATCTGTCTACAAGAGACACATGCTCATTGCCAAACTGAAATAAATATTAAGCTGCTGACCCATGCTCTGTAGAGAATGTACTCAGAATTGTTTTTTCTGTCATTGTAATGGAATTGGACCAATCTTTCCACACATTGGCTGGTACCCTTCCTGATCAATAAAGCAGACTTCCCCGACAGCTGGGAATTGTGATTCAGCCTATGTCTCTGTAACAAAGCAGAGTAACTGGGAACATCCGGAAATAAGTGCATGAGTTTAGGTTAATTATTAGCATATTCTAAACAATAGTAAGTAGTTTTATTTATAATGCATTTGGTGCTTCTAATTTTACACTAGTAGATTTAGTTCATACATACTTTGCTTTGAACATTTTTTTTACTTTATTTAATTTATATATTTGCACATTTATATTTCCGGATATTTGATTGCTTGTTTTGTTTGGCCGCAATTTTCCTGTATATAATAGATGAAAAATAGAGGAGCCAGAAAGATAGCACAGTGAGTAAGACACTTGCCTTTTATGTGGCTGGCACAGATTCAGTCTCTGATACCCAATTTGGCCATGCCATGCATGATTTTTGAACACAGAGACAGGAGGGAGCCCTGAGCACCTCTAGGTGTGCCCCAAACCCTACAAAAATTGGAAAAATGTTTTTTTGAACTAAAATATACTAAACAAATAGCTATTGTTTAAATACGACAAAACTTATAATCATGCAAACATTAAACATAACGACTAATATTTCATGATGTGGTGAGAAATTCTCTGAAGACAATATGCATTACAAAATTTAGTATTCAACAACCTATAGGGTAAATTCTACTACTACCTTCATTTTGTTGATAAGTAGTTCAGATATCAATAGTTCAATACTTTACAAATAGGGAGTCAGAGAAATGGTTTAGTAGGCAAGTGGAGCAAGTGAGCCTTACATGTGCATAACCCTGGATTGTTTCACAGAAGCTTATAGGGTCCTCTGAGCACCCGAACTGGGAGTGATCCCATAGTACTTCTGAATGTGGTTCAAAAACAACAGGCAACAACTAACTATATCTTCCAGAAGAAATAAAGATGCTATCTACAAAGGATGTCCACGTTTTCATGTAAACATCATTTCCAGGTTGCTGCTCATGTATATTCAAAGAAATTATTTGAAACTTAAAATTTGTCAAATTTAAGCCAGCATTAAATTAAAGCTTTTTTAGATCTTAATATTACTATATATAATCCTCATAAAGAT